AGAGAAGTAGTGACTAGAGGTTAGGAAGGGTAGAAGGGAGGGAAGGGAAAATAGTACTAAAGTATCATTACATAGAAGGAGTAAATTCTGGTGGTCTACAACACAGTAGAGTGACTATAGTTCCCAACAATTTGTTACTCACTTTTTAAAGAGGAGTGTGAAGGTTCCTAATACACATAGATGATAAACGTTTAAGGAGATGAAAATGCTAAATACCCTGATTGGGTCATTACACAGTGAGATGTATTAAATTTTCACACTGGGTCCCTTAAATATGTATAATTATTATATGTCGATAAAAATTATTTCTTGACCAAAAAAGAAAATGAAAAGAAAAACAAAATATAAGGTGTGGAGTCAGGCAGACCTGGATTGGACATCCAGGGCCATTTTAAGTTCTTTGACTTTAGACAAATTGTGCTCTCTCTTCTCAGTTGTGAAGAAGGGATTATGTAACACCCCCTACAAACTCGTGTGTGTGTGTGTGTGTGTGTGTGTGTGTGAAAGTGAATCTTCCATTTATTATGTTGAAATGATAATTATTAATGCAATCATACATTGTTGATAGACATGATTTCTGCATAGGAGGTGGGGATTGACAGTGGCAGTCATTTGGCGAAGAGAGTCTTTAGTAGAAAGAAGATTTGTGCTAGTTTCTCTGAATCTGATCTTTGGGAAGAGCTTCTCCATCGTGGGGGTAGGACTGCCCTGTCCTATACAGACAGATTGTAGAGTTTTAGGGATCTTTTGGTCCTCTCTTTTGTTATCCCATTGTCTTAAGCTATTATACGTGTATCATGCATAGTCAGAGTTTTCTACAGCTTGTCTTCCTTGTATTTAGGGCTATAAAAGGAAGGGGTACAGGCTGATTTTGTGTTGTTGCAGTGATAATTAGGGGAGAAAAGCCCAGGTGAAGGTGAATTTCTGAAAGGAGTTTTAGCATGTAAAATTATCTACATTATTGAGCTAAAAATCAATAAAAATGCTACCGTCTTGTGTTGGGACCTTTTAGATCAAGGGGCCAGCTGAATTGGTTGTCTGGGTGACACGTGCCAGTCTTGGTGGGGATGCATCCCTAATCCTTGCCAGACTGGAGATTAGAAAGATTAATTTTTCATTTCTCCCTTATAATTCTGCTAGAGACTATTAAGTGTATTTTTTTGCTGAGTACTGTAACGTGGGCCTAGGACTTATGTAGTAGTGTTGCTTAAAACTCACAAGTGTAGCAGCAGGTGGTTGTCCTGCTCCAAGATGGCTGAAACCTTAACCTAGCCAGGAAGTAGCTCATGGTCCAGAGGGGAAGATAAATTTTAGCATAAGGTAATGATAGCAATTGTATGCACATGCTGTGTTCAAATCCTTATTTCCCCTTTGCTTGTCAACACTTGAGCCTTCTCTAGTCTGATTTATATATTCCTCCAATGAAAGTGTTCTTATAAAGGGATCAGTAACTTCTGGTTGCCAAATCAAGTAGAAACTTTAATTCTTAGTAGCAGTGGACAGTGTTGACTACCCTCTCCTTGGAACTGTCTCCTCTTGTATTCTACAGTACTTGTCTTTGTTGGTCTTTCACCTTGTAGCTAGTTTCTTTGCATTCTCTTTAGCCCATTTCATTTTTTATATGATTTTCAATGTTGGAGTTCCTCAGGGCTTAATTCCAGGCTCCTAGCTCTCCTTTCTTTGTATCCATTGTCTAAGAAATACCAACCATTTCTTTTTTTTTTCTTTTTTTTTTTTTTTTTCATTTTTCTTTTATTATCTCATATGTGCATACAAGGCTTGGTCATTTCTCCCCCCTTTGCCCCCACCCCCTCCCTTAGCCAGCCACTGCCACCCCTTCCCGCCCCCCCCTCAATACCCAGCAGAAACTATTTTGCCCTTATCTCTAATTTTGTGTGTAGAGAGAGTATAAGCATAATAGGAAGGAACAAGGGGTTTTGCTGGTTTGAGATAAGGATAGCTATACAGGGCATTGACTCACATTGATTTCCTGTGCATGGTGTTACCTTCTAGGTTAATTCTTTTGATCTAACCTTTTTCTGAGTACCTGTTCCCCTTTCCTATTGGCCTCAGTTGCTTTAAGGTATCTGCTTTAGTTTGCTCTCTTAAGGCAACAAATGCTAGCTAGTTTTTTAGGTTGTCGTTACCTATCCTCACCCCCTCCCTTGTGTTGCTCTCGCTTTTATCATGTGCTCATAGTCCAATCCCCTGTTGTGTTTGCCCTTGATCTAATGTGGGTTTTTTGAGCCAGGCTAACCTCACTCAGAATGATGTTCTCCAGTTCCATCCATTTACCAGCGAATGATAACATTTCGTTCTTCTTCATGGCTGCATAGAATTCCATTGTGTATAGATACCACATTTTCTTAATCCATTCGTCTGTGCTGGGGCATCTTGGCTGTTTCCATAACTTGGCTATTGTGAATAGTGCCGCAATAAACATGGATGTGCAGGTGCCTCTGGAGTAACAGAATACCAACCATTTCTATAGATTTAAGCTGTTTTCAAGTTGGACTTCAAATTTAATATGTTTAGTCTTTCCAGATATGAGTCTTATATATTCAAATGTAGGTATAAGATTATTTTTCCTAGGTCTGTTATTGGGCATGGTGGGCTCACCTCTTATCTCAGCTATGTAGGAAGCATAAATTGGAAGATCCCAATCCAGGCTGGTCCAGGCATAAAGATGAGACCCTATTCATAAAGTAATGAAAGCTGCCAGTAATCCTAGCTACTCAGGAAGCAGAGATTAAGAAGGTTACAGTTTGAACCCAGACTGGGCAAATGTCTTGAAAAACCCTACAACTGAGCCAAGAATATTTTTCCTTAGGATGACATCAATCAGTAACAATTTATACTTTGGATTCATTTTCAAATTTATAAGTTTTAATTCTTTGAATAAAGAGCCCTTTTACTCTTTAGAATTGCAAATAGAACCTAAAAGAAGTAAGTTAATACTCATTTAATACTCAAATTAGTATTTTCAAGGATACTGGAAACATATGACTTCATAATCTATAAAGTCTAAAGAGGAGAGAAATAGATAAAAATGCATTTTGATTTTTGTCAGGACCTGACTGGTTTTGAAACCATCATATATAATAAAATACAACTAGGGCATAATATAATTTTTGAAAAACAAAAATAAATCTATATGTAAATAAGAAATTACCACAGTAAGTAAAATGTCTGGATTCTGCTCAGGTGGCAGTCAGTGAGCAGTATGCCCACTGCGGAATCCTTAATCTTTTCTAGCACTACCTGGGTAAATATTAAATACATTCTTCATGGTCTACCTAACTCCATCTCAAGGACAGCAAATGTGCAACAACCATGAGCTAAAACTGGTGATACTAGTAGGAAAGATATTAAGCTATTACTGCTTGCTCTATGTTATTCAATAAGCTTTATTAATATGTTAATATGAGGCAAAATTATCAGTGCACCCATGATAAATGAAGATGTTCCAGAAATAAGGATATTTCTAAACATCTGTAGTATAAGATATCCTGGTGTAAGTTTTAAATAAGAGGAGCTAATGAAATATAAACAGAATTACAAAGTTTTATAAATTCATAAGTTTTTAAAAAAGTGGTCATTTAAAGGAACATTACAAGTAATAAAAGTTCTATAATAAAATTCCACTACTCTTCCATCAGGCCTGATGGGTTTCATAGTGCCCCTCTAGGATGCGTTTCAAGGGAAGGAGAGGGGAAGATTGACCTGGGCAGAGTGATAGAAGGTAAGACAGGAACCATGCAAGAAGGGTAGAGGAAATGGATCTTCTCTCTTAACTACCATTTCTATTTATGAACTAAGAAAGTAAACTCCTCCCATTAAGCAGCAGGTTATTGTCAGAAGATATAGTGGAATAGTGGAAAAAAGGGTTTAGTAGCCTTACACTAACCAGGTTTCAAATTCTAGCCTTAACACATAAAGACTGCTGCTATTGATAATACTGTTACTACCATCAGGTTAGGTATATGACCTGTATATGCGTTATGGACTCAACTTTGAAATAAGGTTAACAGTGTACTCTTAATGAGAACTTAGAAACATTAAGTGAGAGAGTTCTATAAAAATACCTGCTACATACAGGCATTATAATTATGATACTACAAAGTATGATCCTGCTAAAAGTGTTGATAATGACAGGTGACGCAGTAAAATGAAGAAAAATGAGTGTTAACTTACTCCTTTTAGGTTCTGTTTGCTATTCTAAAGAGTAAACGGACTCTTCAAATAACTAACACTGGCCAGGTGCCAGTGGTTCATGCCTGTAATCCTAACTACTCAGGAGGCAGAGATCAGGAGGATCATGGTTCAAAGCCGGCCCGGCAAATAGTTCTGTGAGACCCTGTCTCGAAAACACCCTTCACAGAAAAGGGCTGGTGGAGTGGCTCACGGTATAGGCCCTGAGTTCAAACCCCAATACCCCCCCCCCCCCACACACACACACTTACAAATTTGATAATGAATCCAGAGTGTAAATTGTTAAGGAAACAAAATTCTTGGCTCAGTTATAAAAAATCCCTTGAAGCTAAATCTGGTAGTATTTAATGTTTTTTTTTTTTTAAGCCACCACATTTTCAGCACCACTAGTAGCATTTGTTTGGTTTTCTCGCACCCATAAGATACACAAAAGCAGTAGACATCAGGATAAGTAAACTCCCACAGCACACATTTCCTGTCTTCGTCTTTCTCACTGTGCTTCTTAGAGAGAAGCTTCTGCACTGGGCGTAAGGTGCAGAGGAAAAGCTGCCAGCCATGCAGGCTCCAGCCCAGTGTTTTCAGATCCATATCCTGGGCAGGCTTGATGGGCTCTTGCCCTCAGTCTTGAAAATCTGTCACAAACAAGATCACTTTTACTGCCAGAAAGACTTTTCTTGAGGTAATGAGTTGCTGTCATTTCTGTAGTTTGCTTAAAGTTATTATGTAGATTTTTATTTTAGTAATTTCAGGCCTTTCAGTTCTTTACTGGTAAACTAAGTGATGGCTAATGTGTAGTTGTGAGAACTCATAATTTGTAGACCCTTCAGAATTCACAATAGAATGTTGCCTTGTACTTTTTGCCCTATCTTAGAGAAACAGAAGTAATGTAGCAGGCCTGCCTCTTGATTTACTGTGCATTTAAGCGGAGAGCTGTTGTCAATAAGTATTACTGGTATACTGACTGATGGCAGTTAACAAGTGTCAGTCATAGATTGGTTGTACAATTCCCATCTACTCGAAGAGTCCAACAAGGTTCTGCAGATTTTACATGTTTTTCTGTCTGTTTATATTGCAGATTTCTCTTGGATTTGGCTACAAATTTATAGATCTTCTGCACTGTGTACAGGCACAGGTGAGTTAAAGCTTGAATTCATTATGTTGGAATATGTTCAATATTGAGTAAAATTAAATATTTTCAAATTTTTCTATTTATAGTTTAGGAAAGAAATAGGTAAATAAAATGAGTTTTGAACAAAACAACTACAATGTCCTTTTTGTCTACATTTTTCTTTGGTTATGAATGTTCTTTATGAATGTGTCAAAAATGACATTTACAGGTACAGTGACCATACTGTTTAACAGTGGTTACTGTATATATTTGGGAAGAGTTTAAGTATACCTATTGTGTGAATTGATTATAATATATTAAATTTTCATTTCCTAGACTGACAAAATGTTTACATTTATTTTAACATGTACAGTCTTGGAGTGCAGCATGTCTAATTTGTTGTGTAAAAGAATAGAAAAGAAGCTGGTCATGATGGTACACACATGTAATCCCAACATTCAGGACGTGGAGACAGAAGAATTGTGAGTTTGAGGCCAGCCTGGGCTAGATACAAACTGGCAAGTAGCTAGTAGTGGAGTGCTTATCTAGCATGCACAAGGCTCTGGTTTTAATCTCCAACACTGCAAAAGAAAAAAAAAGGTAGGAAAGAAAAGTTACAACAGCTTTTGGCAGAAATGTCGGTTTTATGGGGTAGGTGTTATAGAATGTAATAAGTCAGCCTTTCTTGTCCAATGGAACTGGTACAGCTTCTCAGTCATTTCTTACCATACAACTCAGATTTATTTTTATCGGAATGTTTATTAACACATTATATATCCTTCCTTATTTCTTTATTTATAACCTCCCTCCTAAAATGTAAGCTTCACTAACATTGGGACCCTTTCTGTCTTGTTCAAAGCAGCACCCTTAGTCCTTAGCACAGTGCCTGCTTTGTCATAAATTAATTATTAGGTAATAAATACCAAAAGTATATTTACACTCAGAGTCTTTGAACCCTGCACCTGCACATACAAATTAGAAATATCTCCTTATAATTTTTTTTAGGTATGAAATTAGTTTATACATGTTATGAAAAATTAGCTGTGTTGGATATTTTATTTATTCAAAGATGCTTAAGCAGGGTAGAAGCCAAAGAATGACCTTTTCATTTCAGCATTTATTTTGTCACTACCTCAAGAAGGTTCTTACAATCAAGTAAAGAAAAGTCCTAACAGTGTGACAACCTCTCACCTTCTTGCTGGATCATCTTAACATACTGGATACATTTTGTGATACCCCTGTAGAAAGCAGAGTAGATTTGAAGCTGACTGTGGTGGCTCGCATGTGTAATCCCAGCACTTGGGAGGCAGAGGCAGGAGAATCTTGAGTTCAGGGCCTGATTGGGCTACATAGTGAGATGATGTCTCAAAAAAGCAAATAAAAAAGGCAAGGTAGATTTGAAAGATGTCCAGTTTTAATCTCTGAAAACCACATAAATTAAAATTTTTATACCACCTCTGACTGGATTACAAATGTAACTTAGTTTTTACACTGGGAACTTTTTGGTCATTGTCTGCCTGTCTGTCAATGTTTGAACTTGTTATCAAGGTGGCCATAGAGATAGTATGATGAGCTGACTACCCTTTCCCTGGGTCCATGGCAGGTCCCTAAGTAGTCCAGGATGTTAGTTGCTATTACTAGGTTTTGTTTCACACTAGGTTCTTGTCTCCTGTTGTGGAACTTGGATTTGAATTCAGGGCCTCTTGATTGCTAGGCAGGCCCGCTACCACTTCAGCCATGTCCCTAGCCCTGTTTGGGTTTTTGGTCTGTCTTACTTTTTTTGGGCATTCATCTCTCCTTCCCCCGCTGTAATTTTTCAAAGTATGACTTTTAGGTTTTTTTTTTTAAATAAAATATTTGAGATTATATAGCCATCTCTGATTCACATCTCTTTTACAAGTACAATTTGCAGAGATTTCAACTGATGATACTAATAATAACAGATGTTATTTATTGCTCTCTTACTGTGTGCCAGGCATTAAGAAAGTGCTTTCCAGTTATCTTTAGAGTAAAAGATAAGCAAACTGAAGCTCTGAGAGGTTAAGTGACTTTCTCAAGGTCATAATCAAGTAAGTAGCAATTACTGCTCCACAGACCTTGATCTTAACCAGCTGAGCTCCATTTTCTGCCTAAGTAACTCTGATTACAAGCATATTTGTGGCAGGAAGGGTAATATATGAAAACTGTATTCCTATTAGAAGACTTCAAATTAATTTAAAAAACAAACATTTTACTTAGGTTTCACTAGTGGCTCTTCACTTTTTTGTTGTTGTTTTTGTTTTTGTGGGACTGGGGTTTGAAATTCAGGGCTTTGTACTTTCAAAGCAGTCACTCTACCACTTCAGACACAGCTCCAGCCTGTCTTCAGTTTTAACCTTTAACTTTTTTTTTTTTCCACACTGAAACATAAGGACTGAGAACGTTGCTCACCCATAGACTGCCTAGCATGCATAAGGCCCTGGGTGTGTGTGGTGGGGGAGGGAACAACAGTGAAACATGAGAAGTTATTTGAAACTCAATGGTACAAATTCCATTCTGGGACTTTAATTTCAGACTCACTTTTTTTTGGGAACAGGGATCATTTTTCCAATGTGTGTTAGCATTCTTTTTCTCTTGGGGTATTAGAAATTTTAAGTTATAGGTAGCATCTGTTGTTCATTGGATGAATTGCCTTTCTTGCAAAGAATAGGAAACATATTTGTGTGTGTGTGTATATATATATATATATATATATATAGAGAGAGAGAGAGAGAGAGAGAGAGAGAGAGAGAGAGATTGAGCATGTAGCTCTGTAGTAGAATGCTTGCCTAACATGCACAAGGCTGTGGGTTCAATCTCCAGCATTAGAAAAAGTACATATATATTTCAAATATATAAATATATATGCATATTTGAAATATAGTGACCATAGACTACTTAGTATCACTATCTTAAAAGATGTGATCATTTATATCTCTGGGGAATTTTTTAAATTATATAAGAAATGAATTAGCCTCGAGGTTAGAGCATGGTTGATTTAAATAGAAACTTTGCTTCTCTTACTTTATTTTCAAGGCTGAGTAGGGCCTACAACATAGAAATACTGTGGGTCTTAAAGTTTGATCTTACAGAAGAAGTGTTCTTGAAGGCAACTTTGTTGACTACGCCTTAGAATTTTCTTGTGAAAACATGATTGATTGTATATCCTCAGACTTTCCAAAGGGATTGCTGCTGTGAGCATAAATGCAAGTTCCAGATTTGAACGTATGGGAAATGAAATTCTGTAGTTTGAATTAAAAAGGCAGAATTTATTTAAGAGACTAAACTATGAATTTCAATCTATATCTAGGTCAGTATTTCCATTTTTAGTCTCACATTTTAAGCATTTTTAAAGTTAGCTAATAAAATTTACTTGGCATTGATAATCAAACAGAAACAAGAGCTAGATAAATCCACTTGACGATACATCTTTGAAATGTAATTTTCCCCTTTACTATGGAAAGTTGAACTTTCTGTGGATTTATGTAGATGTTGGATTTATTTGTAAGTTTATTTTTCTTATGCTGGAAGATTTGAAGTAGAGGGATAGGGTATTTTTGGTGTGGGTTAAGACTTGTTCACACCTATTAGGTATAGCTTAATTCTTCAATACTAACATGTGGAAAAAATTTCTTCACTGCAATAAGGCATAGTATATTTCATGCAGTACTAATATACTTTGTTGTTATATACTAGCTGCTAAATAGTAAAAATCACATTAAGCATATCCAGGGATAAATTATTACCATATTGAATATGACATGATAGCATATTTCAAATCAATATTTGTTGGATTTTGAATCCTCTGTTATTCATAGATACAAGAGGATTTGTGATTTATTTTGTTTCTTTTTTTTTTGGCAGTATTGGGTTTCAGGCTTAAGGACTCGCCTTTGTTAGGCAGGTGTTCTACCACTTGAACCACACACCCCAACCCTTTTTAAAGTTTTAGTTGTTTTTCAGATAGGGTCTTGTGTTTTTGCCCAGGGCTGGCCTTGGATTGCAGTCCTTCTACCAATGCCTCCTGCATAGCTGAAGTTACAGCAATGGCCTACAATGCCTGGCTTGTTTGTTGAGAAGGGGTCTCGCTAACTTTTTGTTCCAGCTGTCCTCAAACCGTGACCCACCTTCTAAGTACCTGGGATTATAGACATCTACTACCAAACCTGACTAGACACTTGAATGTAACTGAGAGATGTATAGATTCACACAAGTATGGGTCACTTGACTTGAATACAGTTACCAGGCTTTGAATACTGTCTACTGAAAATCAGTATTAATCTAAATGAAAATTTACATTATTTAGTAAAGGAGGAGTGTGGTGCTCAGTGAGGTGGAGCCCTCCAAGCCAGGAGTTCAGGTCATCTTTGTGTAGAAAGGTGTCTTGCTATTTTCATATGGATAGAGAAGCACAATGGTATTAATAAGCATATTGCATTGCTGAAAATAGTCCAGAAGTATGGGAGCACCTGATTTTTCTTGCTAATCTAAATTATGGGATAACAAAATTTAGAATAACAGACAGTAATTAAAAAACCCATTTTTATTTTCCACAAAGTATTTTTATAGATTTATGTCACTTTTAAAATGCCAGTTACAATTTTATTTTCTTTTTGATATGTGAAACTTTTGAAACATTTGCTAGAAGTCAGTTCCATTGAAAAGTCAAATATGGTATTGACTTGAACCAACTATAAATTGCAGGTGAAATTAAAAATCAGAAAATAATACTTTGATTTTTAATCACATTGTCAATTGGTAAACATTTTAGTGGCCAGAGAGGCCTTAGAACAGTTCTTTTCTCATATGTGTGTGGCGTGTGGCAAGTGTCAAATCATGAATCAAGCCAACAGATCTTTCTTGTGTTCTCCTTCTCTTTCTCCCTCCCTCTCACCCTTCTTCCTCTCCCCCTTCTTCTTTCCCTTCTTCCCTCTACCTTCCTCCCTTCTCCCCTGTTCTTCTTTCCTCCTTCTTTCCCTCTCCCATCTTCTCCCCTCCCTTCCCCT